TTAGATCATGTAGGGGAAAGTTTAGGTATTTTACTGTGTTTCGTGAGCATTTCGATTAACCTTTTCAACTATTTTTAAAACTTGTGAATGAAGTGTTATTTTGGTCATTCGTAAATATGAACTCTCCAAAGGCATTTGGCCTTGAGTCACTAGTAAATCCTAAGGATTTTGTGTAAGGTTTTTTTGCAACCTATTTAATTGTCATCATTTAAAGCGCCCATGGTTTTGTGTCCTAGAACCAAAGCAAAACTCACTGATTCATATTGGATCCCAGGTATACCTTCTTCTGGTAGCGTATGGTTGGGAAGGATCATTGGTTTTACACGTTGTAACCTGCCTTTTCTAGAGGATGTTTTTAAAACTCTTAACTCTCTCTTTTCTGTGCCGTGGTGTGGTAGGAAATCTTTTCATTAAGATGGGCAGGTAGAGCAGGTATCTTTCTTTAGTGAGAAGTTGCTTTTCCCTTTTATTTCTAACCAACTAAAATGTAAAAAGATCATGTTGGTGTTTTGCTCTGTTTTATTTTGCTAATTTTAAAACATATGTAGAAAAATACAGGCCCTTTAAAAAGAAACTGTAGTTTTAAATTTTTAATACATTGCACAGTGGACAGATGTACTATTTTAATATATTCTGTATTTAGTAATATACTCTAGAAAGTAGACCCTGACATTCTTTTAGCATGATTTTCCTTTAAAATTAGTTTTCTTCGTAAGGGCACACATAGTGGAAGCTGATTTTTGAAGGACTGTTTCAGTTTTATGCGCTGCAGTGTTACCTTAGACTGTCTAACGTAGGTGTTCGAATCAGCAACACACAACACATTTATACTCTGAACTGAAGGGCAAGTGAGACTTTATGTTGATAATCCATCTTTGCTTTTCACAGGCATGGGATCCAGAATCGCTTTTCCTCTGTGAGGATTTTCAGTCTCCGTCTTCGTCTTTAATTCCACACTTTAGTTTCCAGGTTCAACAACAGTGAAGCCTGAAATCTTTCCATTCCCAGCTGCTTCTCCATGTTGGGCGCCTCCATCCTCTGGGGGCCCGCGCGCCCCCTCCTTCCTGTTCTCTTGCACTTCCCTTCCCTAAACCCGTCTACCAGCCACCACTGAGGGCTCCTTTCCCTTTCTGGAAAATCACTTTCTTTGACTCCCTCGGCTCTGGATGCCCTTCTCCTCCTCCTCCCCACCTGCTTTTGGTGACGGACTTCTCCATTTGCTGATGGTGCTACATTCTCTCTTGCTCCTCTGTCCAGTCTTAACATTTAGAATTCCTCTTGGCGGGGTGGGTACGAGAATGTTGTGAATATTTTTGCACTGTGTTTAAAATCGATTGCATCTTATCCTTTGCTTTGACAGGTTTTTTACTCACGCTTTGTTCCCCCAGGTCTCCGTTGGAGAGAATAACGTCTGAATTCTGTTATTTTGCAGTTTGACTTGTAGGAGTGTGTGGCGCCCCCGGCCGCCAGCGTCGTGCCGCTTGTGGGTAGCATGTGATTAATCACCCCCTTGTTTTCACCCTCTACTTTTGCAGGACCTCTTGTGCATGAGTTCAGTGTTAGTTGAGGCGCGCCTAGTTTTCCGCTGAAGTGGCGGCCTGTTTGACCCTTTGTTACTGCTCTCGCTCTGATCCTTCCTAACCGTAGTGCGCACGCGCTGCCGAGCTGGTCTGTGCCGGCTCCGAGGTGGAGTCTGACGCTGTGTTTATTGGGAGTGCAGTGAGAGTTCAGAAACCACCAGATGACTGAATTGCTTTCCTCTGGGTTGGTCTCCTTCATGTTTTCTGCCAAACACTACACTTACCGTTGTGGGAGATGACGTTGCCTTGCTTTACCCCAGTTTTCACTGTGCGCTAATGACTGTGACCACTTTATCAGGAATATATGTGAAGAACAGTAGTGACATGGTTGGAAAAAATGTATTGTGTGTGTATCGTTTGTGTGATTCCATACCAAGACGTGTCTCGAACTGTACTGTAACTTGGAAGATGTGTTAATAAAATATTTCGCAGTTCCTGCTTTTGTTCTGTAGCTTTTCTTTGATCTCGCCACTCGGATGTGGTCAGTCCCTCGTCTTATAGCCACGTGGACAGACAGCACTGCGACCACCCCGCAGAAGGACCGGGTGGTGTTTCCCCCGAGGAGTGGCGGGTTGTCCCCAGGCCCGCGGATGTGCCCCCTCTGCTGTAGCCATCGGCCTGGGCATGGTCTCTAATTAGTGGACCCGCAGGAAGGTCAGAGCGACCGCTCGTCTTCACCCACGTTCCATGGTCTGCAAAGGTCTCAGCTGACAGTGTGTTTCTTTTGTTGGCAGTGGGCAAGTTATATTTTCTTTTTATATTTTTTAAGGCATTACAAATAATTGTTAAAACTCTTCAAAGGACATTTGTACACTGAAGCCGGAGAACGGTCATCCATAATGTCACACACGTGTGCTGCCGCTGCGTGCGACGCCTGGCTTCTGTTTGGGAAGTCGCATGGTGCGCACTGCTGGGTGTCCGTATTCCATTTCATGCGTCATCCGTGCTTTCCATGTTGCTACAGATCGCTCCTAATTTCTGGTCTGTTCTGAAAACAAAGTTCTTTGGAAATAACCCGCCACCCCACCCCAGCCGTTGGAGGAAATCTTTGAGAAGAGACCCAGGTGTTGGCATGCACACACCCTGTGCTGGGACGGGATTCAGGCAGGAGGCGCTCGGTGGCTGCACCTCTCCTCACCTCCCGAAACCCACCTTTCTTACCTGTGGGAAGGGGGTGTATCTTGTGAGGATCAAGTGAAACGGTCTTGGTAATTTGTGACCCCGTGCCAGCCCCGTAAGTCTCTTGAGTTGTGTGGGTGATACAGGCTCACTTGACTGAGGTTTCCATGCCCTTCGTGGGAGGAAAGAAAACCACTTGTGTTCCAGCGTAGGAGTGACCCTCACTCTCCACCCTGGCCCTTGTGGCGGGACTCACGGCCAAGGCCCTTTCTCTCATTTGACCTCTGCATGGGCTACTTGAATTCTAGTGACAGAGGCCAACACGGAGGGGATGACCACGGTGCCCCCACGAGCAGGAGGCCGGGCAGTGGGAGGGCCTTGGCTCCCCTCCAGGCACCCGCCGGGACCTCACTGACAAAAATGTTCCTGCCGAAGACCTCCCACCGTACACTTCACCACTCTCCTCCTGGCGTGAGGTGAGCAGGGAGGAGAGAAGGCGAGCTAAGAGGCTAACTGGGGGGGAACTGAGCACGGAGTGATGCCCCTCAGAGGTCTACACGGTTGGATTAATTTCTCAGATCCGACTTAATGGAATTTTTAACCCTAAATCAGAATCTGAAGATGGCTAGTGACTAAAGAAAGCCAAAACCACGTTTCTTCCGTTTTAGTCCACAACATCC